CAAGCCCAAAGCCTGCCCTTACCCAGGTCCTGATGTAACACCCTTTGTAGGAAGCCACCAGCACCAGCCAGCTCCTGGTGGTCCACACCTTGTGCCCACAGTGCTTTGGGAGACTGGTGACCAAGAGAGGAGCCATTTTGCCTGGGAGAAGGTGGAGTGTTAGAGACTTACAGGTAAGTGGCCTTTCACAGTAGCTCTGTATAGCACCACAGAGCAAGAACACAGATATTCCCTTTGCAAGGGACATCCACTGCATCATGCCCCTAATTCCTCCACGTTTGCCTGGTCTTCTCTCAATCGAATTGATCAAAAAGGTACTGATCTGGAATGCATGCAGGTTCTCTTTGGTTACATTTGAAACAATATAAACTGGAGAATTGTCACAAAGGTACACTCCTCATATCTTCATTAAAAAAATCTGATACACAAGCATTCATATTGTTCTAACCTACCAGAACATCTCCCTGGTAAAGGGTCTGGTTTCAAGAACAGGTGTACCCATTTAGTGAGGCTACAGCTCAACCTACCATGAGGTTGAGGTTATTCTCCCAATTTGTGTTCCACACCCAACCCCATGTTTAAGATCCAACATGCATAATTAGAACTATGGAGCAAGGAGCAAGTAACCCACTGCCCGACATACAATCCATGGAGCAAAAAGCACATTTGGAGGCACTGTAGACCTCAGAATTAGGAGGGATAGTCAGAAGTATTTAGCCCACAGCTTGTATTTCCCTACCAATCTCAATGAAAGTGTGATCTTCAAAGACAAGTAAAATATTCTGGAGGTGTATCTACCCACTGAGGTACAGGGACAATTGTTTAGAGAGGCTGTCCTGCTACTTTTGGGGATACCACTGCAGCACAATCCTTTGTTTTTCAGCTCAGATGGCACATGAACAGGTTTTGATCTCCTGAACAGAGGATGGCACAACCTGTCCATGTATAGGGCAAGTGAAAGTACAGGCAGGGCAGAACCTCACCCTTCAGCAGGTAGACTCGGCTGAACCTCCTGACAGAGAACTTGAGCATCATGCTGCTCTTGCCACAGGACAGCAGGGGGCGGCTGCGGGATTGCTGCTGCTCAGGGTCACCCTGAGACTCTGGGAGGGAAGAGAGGACAGCAAGAAGTGTTACTGGGTACAAGACCTTCAAGTTGGTAGCTGCAGCAGCAAAGGTTTATTCCATGCTGAAGAGAAGAAAAACAGTTCCACAGCTGGAACCATCTTCAGGTGAAGGCTCT